TATTATTTTCAATAGTCATTGATGCACAAAGATTAAATTTTGCTCTGGTAGAGGATTTACAAGGAAAAGTGAATAATGTTAATAACTAGGAAATAATTGTGTAATACTTGTGTCCCAGTTTTTTTTTCACAACTATTTGTTCTTCCTTAGGTCATAGCTGGTCAGTTCTTGTCAGACAAGAAAGTTGGCACATATGTGGAGGTGGACATGTATGGCTTACCAACAGACACCATCAGGAAAGAATTCAGAACCCGAATGATCCCAGGAAATGGTCTCAACCCACAGTACAATGAGGAACCCTTCCTCTTCCGTAAAGTGAGTGAAATGTGTATAATATCTTAAGTTGTTTGTATAGAAAGATTTGTTTGGTTTAATTCTATATTGTATTAATTACTGATATAAGAATTCTCATAAGTATGACTCAGTAATCATTCACTGTTGTCACATTTGTTATTATTACCATACTTATTGTGATTAAGATATAAACATATAACACATAAACATGTATGTCCATTTGTAGAGAGAAGGAGTAAATGAGAATGGATATCTTCACAGCGCAAGGGATGTATTTGACAGTTTTTGATTGTCAAAACTTGTTAGGTACATCTCTTGCACTGTGAAGCTATTCATTCTCTTTCATACCTTTTCTACATTTGTTACATTGAACACTGTTCCTGAATATTCATCTCTGTTACACCATTTCTTATTTGACAGGTTGTTTTGCCTGATCTGGCTGTGCTGAGATTTGGTGTGTTTGATGAGAATGGCAAGATGTTAGGCCAACGTATTCTGCCCCTTGATGGTCTTCAGGCTGGCTATCGTCATATTTCCTTGCGTACAGAAGGCAACTTTCCAATGTCTCTTCCCATGTTGTTCTGTAATATTGAACTCAAAATTTATGTACCTGATGGTCTTGGCGGTGAGTTGGCTTATTTTTTCTGTTTTTGAATGAAATCTTTTTGTTTATGGAATTGAAACCTTGATATGAGAAAAAGAATAATGAGGTATTTTGAATATATTTCATAGATTCGATGTGATGTTCCAATATCATATCAGTTTCTGTCTGAGGTTCAGAAATGATTATCAAACCATTAAACAACTTGGCAGATCTTATGGATGCCCTTTCTGATCCTCGGGCTTTCTTGAGTGCCCAAGAGAAGCGAGAACAGCAGATGAAGGCCATGGGAATTGAGGCGTCAGATATTGACACAAAAGCCCTGAAAGGTGGAAAGGGAGGTGCTAAGGCAGGTGGAGCAGGAGCCAAACCAGCTGCAGGTGCTGGTGGTGCTGCTGGTGCCAAGAAAGAGGAAGAAGCCCGTAAGTTCTTTTTAACTCTTTCTTAGCTTGGCTTGAAATAGGAAAACATAAGCACTGGTGATAGGACTCATGATCTCAGTTCCATTTGGATGGGAACCTTACAATTTACTCATCTCTAGGTTTTAGACACTCCTTAGGTATTCAAGCTAAAATACTTTTATATTTCTTGTGTGTATGAACCAATTTGTTAAACATTGCAGCCATGTGTTATAAATAAACTTTGGTAAATCATTTATCAGTTTCTAATTACTTTAGATGCCAGATATTATTCAGAACTACCATGTATGGAATTGTTACAGAATGAATTTTGCTTAAATTATTCAGAATTAATAGTGTTGTTAGATAGACACTATTTTTGACTGATTCAATGAAATACACTTTTCCTACATCCTAATAAAAATGCTTGAAATTAGTTACTGAATTATTGCTTCCAACATAGATGTGCATAGTGAGAGAAAGATGATGGTTATTGTCAGTAATAATGTGCACTGCTTGCTTTACATTATAAAATAAAAATTCTTAAAATTCATTAAGTGGAACCAAATAGATAGGCCCAACTACATGAATATCAGGGGAGCCAATTTATTGTTTACAAGATCAATCTCCCTCACAACATAATATTCCAGAAAGGTTTATGAATATACTATTTTTGGTTTGTAAAACTCGTTGAGGTGAGTGCTAGTGATGGGGATGAAGAGGAAGGTAGCAAAGAGGAGGGGCATGAGCTGGAACGCATTCCTTTTTTCCAAATGTTTAAAAGGCTCTTTGACCTCTTTTCTTGTTTATGTGCTTCTTCTCTGAAATGGATCAGATATTCTTTCTGTTCTCCTACTTGAAAATGAAACAAAAATGAATACATGAACATTAACAACTTTTGTATGTAGTGGTACAGGAACTAATAGTGCCAAACTAGGTGAATCTGTTGTATTACTTCACTTTTTGGACAGAGAAACCACAAGAAAAATAATAACAAGCTCTTATGTGTGTGTGCCTTATTAAGGACTGAGAGGCATACATGGCTGGGGGTAGGGGTCATTTAAATCCATGTTAGTTATATGTATGTCATTTCTATACAGTGTAGTTCAAAGCAGATAAAGATGTTGCCACAATACCAGTTGTGACTATTACCAAAGATATGCCAGTAGTGCAACATTGATTCTGGTACTAACATTGAGCCTCTACATACTTAATTTTATAACACATTTCAGAAAACTGATCAACCCCAATTGTTTAATTAGTTTCCTTTCCTAAAAATCTTAATGAAAGAGACAGGAAGCTGTGTAGTGGTTATATTATGAAAGAGTTACAGTGGCCATAGAATATTGTTTGCTGTATAATAAGTAATCTGTATTACCAGAATACACACAACTATAACCCCTTAAGATTGATTATCCTTTAATGGCAAAAAATTTGATAAGAGTAGTAGAATACCTTTGTAGCTTTTGGGCAGAAATTTTATTTTATTTTTTATTTATTTATTTTTTTTAGTCTATCTTTTATGCTTTTAAGATTGATATATACACATTTAATCCTGTGTATCATTCTCCTTTCAGTTGACTTTGATCCCATCAATCTAGAAACACTTCGAGCTCAGAAGAACTTCTTGAAGGCAACTAAGAAGCAGCAAAAGGAACTTGAAAGTATGAGAAAAAAACACATGAAGGAGCGATTGTCTATCCAGAAGGGCCAGTGCAGTGCCATTGAAAAGGTTGCTAAGGGCAAAAAGTAAGTGGAGTCATGTTTTATTTGTATTATGAATCTGTATAAACAAGTGGATATAGATGGAATGATGGATGAAAATTCACTTTGGATATTTACTACTTTTAAAAGGCACGCACATGTGCACACACTCAATAACACACACACACACACACACACACACACACACACTCACACTCACACACTCACTCACTCACTCACTCACTCACTCACTCACTCACTCACTCACTCACTCACTCACTCACTCACTCACTCACTCACTCACTCACTCACTCACTCACTCTCACTCTCTCACTCTCTCACTCTCTCACTCTCTCACTCTCTCTCGCCTGATCTTTAATCTTTAAGGAGACTTTAACATCCCCATTTTTTCTGTAATTCTCTGTAGAGAGGTACTGGATGACCCCAAGATTAAGGCAATAGTGACTGACCAGATGAAGCAGTGGTCTGAGATGATGGAGAAACACCGCAAGGAGGAGTGGGAGATGCTGAAGGAACATCTCAAGAGTCAAGAAGACATCCTCAAGAAGCTCATGGAGGAAGAGCAGGCCAGCCAGATTAAGAAGCTGGAAGGAAAGCATGAACAGTGAGTAACAGAGAGATACACTAATGTGTTAGTGAAAAGAAAATGATTGTTAATGTCCTGTAAAGCTAGATTTGAATTTATATATTATAGGTACATAAAAAATGGATTCTTATAGATTGGTTATGAAGTGATTGATAATAGTGTAATGACCATTGTACCTATAAACCTTGTCCAACTTGGATCCAGAACCAAAATTAGATGATCTCTGTTTTGATTAGTCATTATAAGCTGTAAGTACTCAGATAGTGTTAGTGTTGTTAAACTTCATAATGTCTGAGTAGTGTTTAACTCACATTATGCTCATGATTTATGCTACACTTCAGATTTTGTCCTTTTATAAAAGTGCTTTTATTTAAAACAAAATCTATATTTCATTTGTAAGACAGGATACATATTCAGAAATTTGTTTGACTTCCATTTTTGTGTTCCATGTGTTTCAAAAGAACATTCTGTTCCTAGGGCCATGAAAGACATGAAAGCAAACCAGGCAAAGTTGGCTGTAGAAACAGCTAAGGATGTAGCATCAGACAAGACACTGAAGACAAAGGCTGACCGTGATCGTCGTTTGAAGGAAAAGAATCAAAATAACACCAAGAGATTCATTGAAGAGCGAAAGATTTCAGCCATGAAACAAGGCAAGCAGATGGACAAGTTGAAAAAGATCCACAATGAGCAAATGAGTGCCCTCACCAAGGATATTCAGATGGTAGGTAAACTTTTTTTTCTGTAATTCACCCTGCACTATTGGTCATGGTGGGCAGGAATAGGATACTGAGCATAGAAATAATGTCCTCCCTAGAGCCAGCGCTCTTTCACTCATGGCTTCCAGAGGGTACATTCCACAGACTCTATGTATGTTTATAGTGTCTGCATGGAAATGTTAGTTGTGGAGGCTTCCGATGACTTAATTTCTGCAGAAACTAAATCATATTTATGAAAAGGATCTCTGGGACTTGTAAAGGTAAGGTGCAGTGCTTATTGGTGATGGTGGTTCTTAGCAGGGATGTATACCAATGGAAATAATGCAAGAACCGTTTCGTAAATGTATGGAGTCTAATCACCTCCCAAGAGGTTTGTGCACTAATGTTATTCCCATCACCCTATCCCTCAGCTATATTTTTTCACGAAGGCATATTCACGTCACTTGGCCCTTATCCAGTTTTTTTCATGACATGAGTCACATCACCTGGATCCAATGACTTAAGAGGCTCATCTTTCTACTTTCAACAAAAATTTCTGTGGTGAGAAAGTTCATTCTAATTGGGTTGATGGTAGTGATTACATTTGTTTTCGTTGATAATATAGTAAGATGGGTAATGTACACACCAGATGATGCAATTTTCTTCATGAGGAGGTTTAGGCCTATACAGTGATTTGAATGGTTATAAGAAATTACAGTATTTACTCTGTATTTATATATTTATGTATTTGAAAGATACAGAAAAAGTAAAGAATTATTCTATTTTTCTGTATTACAGATGTAAATTAGTGCTGTTTTTCTTTTTTCTTTTTCTTTTTTTCTTAAAGTCCAATCTTTGCTTTCCAGGCCATCCAGTTTTATGAGAACACAGAAGCTGAATACAAGATGTGGCAGAAGATTGAATTTTTCTGTTGAAGAGTCAACCCTCCATAATGTAGCTGGAGTTGTGTTATGGCACACTCTTCACCCCATGTGAAGATCTCCAGACCAGCTGCCTTGGTTCATCTGCAAGCCTTAGCATCCATTATTTCTGTGCATCTGCAATATTAGCCCATTGGTAAAGTGTGTGTGTAATGTACATGAAATGAGGAGTGATGAAATTCAGGGTAATTAGGTGTGTCTGGTTTACAAAACAGGAAATGTGGTTAAGCTCTCCATTCTCCTCTGGTGTAGAGGGCTTGGAGAATCTGCTATTCAAAGTCTAGCTAAAAAGAAAGTTAATGCAAACTTCATCAACACAATGAAATGCTGTAAAAAAAAAAAAAAAAAAAAAAAAAGAAAGCTACAAGTATGTGATAATGAATTCCAAAGTCACAGAATAGTGGAAATGTACATGTGGTGGTTGCTTTTCCTGAGACACAGTAGGTGAATTAATAATGTGCTGTGTATAATAAAGGAAGACATTTTCTAATAGGCTTTGTTTCCGCACAGGAAATCTAGTCAACAATAAACGGGCTGGTTGACTTTAAGATGAGTTATAGCAGTTTCATATATTGGCAATAACAGATTTTAATAACTGTATATTCTTTTCTTTAAGGTTGAGCAATTTATTCATTGTAAGATTCTATTGTTAATGGTCCCAGATATATTTTTGCCACTGAAAAACATAGCTCTATTGAATGTTGAGTACTGGCTATAACTTTTATAAAGAGCTTATACAGATTTAACACTGTTAGCATCATTATAGGTAGCATTGCATTTTCCTACAGTTTATAGCAGTAGACATTTTTTTTCCTTTTTGTTAATTTCATTTGTATGTTTCATATGTAGCATTTTCATTACTTTTAGTGGTGATTACTAATGTTTATATTAGTTAGTGTATTTTATTATTTTCTCAATTGTTGCTTGTTGTTCTCAACATTGTATTACAGTATGCATTCCTCTCTCAGCTTTAGCATAATTATTGATTTAGAAAGTATTACATATAGGATATGATAATTATATATACATATTTATATAGATATATAATCAATGTTATCCTTGACTGAGAAATATTTTGTGAGGTAACTTAGTTTTGAATAATGTTGATACGATTATCAGACATGCATCTATATGCATATAATGCTGTTCAGTTTTTGAAAGAGTCCGAAACTCCTTGTACCTTCTAGTCTGTTCTAGTCAATTTGATAAGAATTTATATTTAGAATATATTATATATATTTATATATTCCACTTGTATGTAAAGACTGCTTCCTCTGTAGTGCCAAGTGTTGATGTGCACCAAACTGTTAATTACACGATCAGTGGATGTGATCCTTTGAATAGGTGACATTAAGGTCCAGATTCTTCCTGACAATACAGTCAAGATCAGCCTTATGAGAGTGTGCTAACAATGGGTCACTTTAAGTGATTGTATTCTTTCCAAATACACACAAAAATCACATTAAAGTATAACAGAGTAGATGCCCAAGATTGCTAATCAGTTTACTTCCAGACATTAATGTTTTTGCTATTGTTTGTAGACAAGCTAAGTCTTTGCCACTTAATGATTTAAAGCATCATAAATGTCATTGTCATTTGGTGATTACAGCATTGAAATGAATACACTAAACATAAAGGCAAAATATGTGAATGGAATTAAAATATATGGGTGGGATCGGTGAGGAGAAAATTACTTCATGAGGACTTTGTTATTGATACAGTAAATTACAGCAATCAACAGCACTTTGGTTTAGATATAAAAGTCATTGGTAGACTGAACCGTAACTGCTGTCATAATATGACAATTGAAAAGTCAGAGGGAAATGCTGACAAGTCAACAAAATGTGGCTGGCATTCCATGTTGGAACTTTGTAGTTCAGAAAACCACCTGGACTAAACTGGCAACTGCAGTAAATTCATGTGTTTCTTTGCTACATACACACATCAGATCATATTGGTGTTTTATCTTGATATTCATTAAGCAATTTTTACCTACGGGCAGTTTTGCCAACGTGCCAAAGAATCAAAGTTTCCATCCTCCAGGCATGAAGCCCATCGGAAGCAGAGTCAGCCAATATTTTTATACGTTTGGATAATAATGATATCGAGGGTATTTTTTATCATCAGTGTTTAGATGTGAATAACGTCCATTAATGGTGTAACAATATGTATGAATATGTACAGACACACATGTCTCTCTCTCTCTCTCTCTCTATCTCTCTCTCACACACACACACTCACACTCACACTCATGCACATGCACTCACAAGCACACACACACATACTCACAAGCAAACATGCACATGCGCACACACATGCATGCGCGCACACAAAAACAAACACACACACACACACACACACACACACACACACACACACACACACACACACACACACACACACACACACACACACACACACACACACACACACACATATATACACACATACACACACATACGGGTGCTCACACGCAGACACACATATCTCTGTCTCTCTCTTCTCTTCTCTCCTCTCTCTTCTCTTCTCTCCTCTCCTCTCTTCCTCTTTTTCCTCTCATCTCCACTCCTCCTGTTTTGTCTGCTCTCCTCTCCTCTCTTTCCATATATACATATACATATATATATGGATAAATATTTTTATGTTATTTATATACATAAATAATATATATTTATATGTATGAGTATATTTGTAATATGTGTGTGTGTGTGTGTGTGTGTGTTGTGTGTGTGTGTGTGTGTGTGTGTGTGTGTGTTGTGTGTGTGTGTGTGTGTGTGTGTGTGCTGTTGTGCCTTTGTGTGTGCGAGTGTGTAAAAATTGTGATAATTGTGTGTGTGTATGTGCGTGTGCATACATGCACTTGTCTGTGTATGTAGGCCAATCATGAGGTGCAGATGCATGCTCCGTCGCACCTTCTTGTTAATGTGCACATTCGCAATGAAATGTAGTGTGCAAGTGACATGAATGTGCCATGTGCCGTGTGCATGAATGTGGTATGTGTAGTAGTCGTGATTGTTGTGTTTTGGTGTGTCATGTTTTGATGATATATCGTATTATGTGCACTGCATGCACTGTAATATATGGTGTGTAGTGTGTGTCTTACCTTTAAGTGTGTGTGTGCTGTTGCTGGCTGATATGCCCTTTAATAAATAATTCCCTTCACAATGCCATTCTGGCATTGCTCCGTCTTCCCCATTACTATAATACATCCGTGGTATATAATGCTAAATTGCGCTTTTTTTCTCTTGGAGAAACTGACATGATTATCACAATCATGCCTAAATGTTACTCTTATTGCCTGCATGGGAACTTGCATGCATCAATTCTATTACTCATATGACGTTTCCATCAATGTAAATTATGAAATCCATTCTGACTGACAAGTTTATATTTACCTGCGAGTTGCACCATTGTTACTAATCATGAAAGGAGGCAAAAGAGATTTGCGGTACTAAGGCATGATAATACTCTCCTTGTGTTTTTCTCTCACGAATATCCAGTAAAAGTTGGTTGATAATCACACTTGGGCCATGGACAAGGAACTGCTCTAATTCCAAGTGTCCTTTGGTTATAGACGGATTGCGCCACATCTCGGGACCCAAACGTCATTTAGTGTAGTATATGCCCACCGAGGACTATCTAAAGGCCTCCACAGACAAGGGTATGCCCAAGACCGAAAGCTCGTGGGTCTAATGTGGGCAGGGTAGGCTTACCGAACTCAGTAAGTGTGACTTTGTAGGACGAGATGCTGTACTCATGTAGTCTTTCAACATGGCGCAACAGCCTGTAATGCAAGTGCAGTGTGGTTGTGGGCGGGCATATCGTCGAGCAAGCGAGCTCTCTCAAGTGCAGGCAGCTTTGGATATAATTATCCTCGCGGCCGTCTGTCTTCATGAGCGCCGATGCTCGTGAAGCTAAGTGTGGTCATGATCCAGGTCACCTATCTTAAAATACATACTGCTGACCTTGTGAGATATACTTGAAGCAATATTATAGTCTACTCTACCTAGTGGGGAATTAGCGAGATCGTCCCGTCTCCTTCAACCCAAGATGAGGGGTGGCAGAGCGCGCTATCTTTCCCTATGAACAGACCCTGCGGGTGAGGGATATGTTTACTGAAATCGACCATCTTCAATATAGTATGATGGCAATTTGACAGATATAATCATTGATATGCGTTATTGGTTAAATTGATAATAGAATGTCATGCTAATTAATGCGATGTATTGGATCCTACTTGCCTGGTGTGGACAGGAATATAATAAATAGAAATCTATTCCTAGTCTCTTATAAATAGACTCAACAAGATACTCTTAGCTTCTCCTGCAATTTCTATTCAGTTATACTCAATGAAATGTGATGCACACACCAAACTCTGGTGAAGTCACTGCTATTATTAGACTGATGCATCTATACACAAATTAAGGCAATAGAATAATACAAACATAAAAGTTCCTCTAATGAATGATATAACTACTCCAATAATGAAACCTCCCCCCTTAGCCCACATCAACTCGTTGTCGATGAAAGGGAGGTGTGTTATCTTGAAATCTGGATTGATGTTTTAGGAACAGGTCCCGTTTTGCCGGTAACAGTGTGTTTTATAATTTGCCTGTAACAAATAAGTAAGAATTAGTGTATGATGAGATATTTCGCTACTCAGGTTCTTTGGTCTACTAATTATATAATTAATGTATGTTACTTTATTTTGTCTTACTATGTAAACACAACAAAGTAAACCTCAGAGAACCAATATCTTTTATGAAATTTCATGTAATTTAAGTACTACCTTTGATAAAAATGGTATTGAATCAAGAGCCTCAATATCACTCGAGTTGACCTTCTAACATAAAAGACAAGTATGATGTAGACAGTGAGGACTAGAGAGATTAAAGAAAAGCCTTTAATGGAGAATCAGGCACCGTTTAGAATGAGCACTCTCTAGTCGGAGGATACTCCATTCATAGAGAGAAATGCAGCGAAATTCAACTCGTTGTTCATTCTTAAAGTGAAATTTCTCTCGCAGAGCCTGGGCTAGTCGTAACCTAGGCTCCTAGGCCCACTTTTTGCTCGCTTGGGACAGGTGTTGGTACAGACCTTGCCTGTGGTATACTCTTTCAAGAGCTAGGCTCTTACAGCTCGAGAGTAACCAATTTTTAAATTATTCTTCACCTTGTAACTTGGAATAAATAAATTTCCTTACCTGAGTCCACCTTCCCATCTCCTAGGAAAGGGTGAACTCAGACTTTTACTATTGAGTATCAACTCGTGCAATTTGAATGACTATCTGGATTCAAGTATTGTAGTAAGGACGTGCATTACCTGTTGCCGATCTAAAGAGGTTGTTTTTGCAATG